CCCCAGAAATCCATTAGCTAGGCCATCTATTTAGGCATACCATGGATATATCACTGGATCATTCCACCTTGTCATGACAAAGGAGTGTTGCTGTTGGCCTTGCCATAATAGATTATATCCCATAAATCCCCCAAAGAGCTGTGTGAGTCTTTAGCCATTACGTTTATTCACACGAAACTCAGCCCAGACTCATTAACTCTTCAGAAAATTTTCTGGGGGGGTAGCTGAGTTAGTCTGTAACTGGAAAAAATTCAACACACAACAAATAGTCTAGTGGCACTTTAAAAACTAACAAAGCATGTTGATGGTATCACAAATTTGGTTGTGCCCATGAAAGTTCATAATGCCAACTACATGTTTTGTTAGTCTCTAAGGTGCTGCTAGATTATTTGTTGTTTTTTAACTTTCTTCAGAAAATGTGGGCTTGTATCATCACCTTGAGGCAAACCCCTACAAGTTACATATGGCTTTGACTTGAAAGCACTTACTCGGCTGTTTCATTCATGTTGTGTTCAAGGGGTTCATCTACAATGCTGAGCCTTCATACAGAACTGCGCAACACATCTCAGGAATACACAATCTGCTCGTGAATACATCAAACCCTCGGCTCTGTACACCAAATCCCCATATAATACTGAATCAAGTTAATGGTAGGAATATTGGATTATGATTAATTGAATAATTGTGTAACCACATCAAATTTTAGTGGTTACACAACTATTCGATAGTGCCGAGGGAGCCCCTGCTACTCTACGGTTCTGCTTCTGAGGCAGCAGCACAGGATGGCAGTAGCTCCCTGTGCGAGGAGTGTCCAAGCTGCCCCCTAACAGGAGCTGCACCAGCTTTCCACAGAGCAGCCTCCTAAAGCAACCCTGGGCCTGCGACAGACAGAGGCTGCTCCACGGCGGCCTTCTCTGCCCTATCCTCCCCTCCCCCCGGCCCTGCTGCCTCTGATAGAGGTAAGAGCATGGGGGGGGACAAGTAGTTTCACGCAGCTGGTAGTTGGGGGGCAAGCCAGCTTTTAAGCCAGCTCCCTCCAGCACCAGCTCCTGTCTGCCCCTCTCTACTGCTTTTGTGGGAGGCAGCATTGGGGGTAGAGGCAGCTCTGCAGAGCTGCATGTGCAGAAAGCCATCTTAAAACCCAACTCCCCACGCATATCAGTTCCCACCTGCCCCCCTCCTGCACTGCTGTCTCTGACAGAGAGGCAACAGGAAGCGGGGGGGAGGCGGTGCCGTGTGAGCTGATATGTACAGGGAGCTGGCTTGAAAGTGGGCTTCCCACATGTACTGGCTCCTGCCTGCTCCCCATACCCTCTGCGCTGCTGCCTTTCTATTAGAGGCAACAACACAGGGATGAGGGGTGCAGACATCTCCACGGATCCCTGCTGCTTCTGAATCAGAGGGAGCAGCGCAGGACAGCAGCAGCCCCTGTCCACAGGGGACCTCAGCTCTCTGTGGACAGAGGCAGCTCCAGCATCCCACCTGCTTTCTCTCTCCTCCCCCCCTCCCCCTGATACAGAGGCAGCAAGTGGATAGGGGGAGTGTGTGTAGTCAATAAGATTAACCGATAAGCTTAGGCTTATCAGTTAATCATGTAGTCAACTACATGTTGACATCCCTTGTTCATGGTGTTGGTCCTTCTGCAGAAGATTCTTCATGGCTGGGCCCAGACTAGAATCTAAAAGAATGGCTCACACTCTGGGATGAAGATCATGGTTGAGAACTTCTCTCCTCAGGTGCAATGTAACTTTCTACAATAAGGATAGAGCTCATTTGTGCAGGAAATGGAGACTTCTCGTAGGCCAGACCAAGATTTTGGAATGAACTACCTCAGGAACTAAGGGATCATCACAAACCTCATTAACTTCCCTTCAAGAGCCAGGGGCATTTCCTTGACTTCTCCAACTTGCTATAGTGGGCCCTATAGCATGGAATGCATCCCTGTCCCCACTCACCTGAACTCCATATTTTGTCCTTTCACACCTTACATTAAATGTTTAAAAAGCACATTAAAGTTCTTTCCCTCCCTACACCAAAAAGGTATTTATAGACCAACAACTGGCCTTATATTATCTAAGCTACCAGTCCCTTTCTGTCCCTTAAAAATCAGGACCTCTTATAAGTTTTTGTGCATTTGGATGTTAAGAGTTTGATATGGTATAATTTATAGTGCATTTATTTCTATTCCATTAGAAGCATCCCAAAGCAGATTTTAAGTTTTTCAGTGCAGAGACCTGGCTTTCAACTCTGTAAAGCCTCATACAAAGTTTTGGCATTAAACATATTTAACATGAAATCAATCAATCAATCAATCAAATAACACCATATTTATAAGAAGTTGTTCACAAGGAAACACCCACAACAGAAACAACCGGAAGTGGCTCAGCGTAAAAAATGTGGTTCTACTCTGTAAAGTCACAGTTCAGGTTTGAGTCAACATGGCCAGAACCTCCACCTCACCACACTTGTGTCACTGCAGTGAAGTGACATTAGTATCAAAAGCGCACACACACAAAAAAAGGGGGTGGGGAGGGAGTAGGGTGGAGGGAGTACTGGGTTCAACAGATAACATGAACAGCTCTACGGACAGGTTCCAGTGGGAATCTCACCGGTTCCTTTGTATCCAGGGGAAAGGTAGCCATGAAACCAAAATCTTGCAAGTACGTAAAGGGGAGGGCTTGATTAATCACAAAGAAGTGCATAATAAGCAAAGCAATTGTTCATGCCCCTTCAGTTTGATAAAGATAACTTATTCTTTAAGTTTTTGATCTGAGGAAGTGGGTCTGGCCCACGAAAGCTCATCATCTAATAAACCATCTTGTTAGTCTTTAAAGTGCTACATTGTCCTGTATTTTTTTTATTCTTTAAAGACAGGGAGGTGGAGGCAAGTCATCTCCAGACACTGTCACGGGACCTTTAATTTGTATTGGACAGCTCCAGTTACTTTTACATGGGTCAAGGCTAAGAAAGGAGTCTCTTAGCACTCCTGTGTGTCACAGCTTTATGACAGCGGGGAAAGCCTGATTTAGCCTTTCCGCCTCACTTATATCTTGCCTTCCAGCTCTAGCCTGCAGCAAGTCCTCTTTACAGGGGTACAGAGCACCCCCCCAGCCCCGAAATACTGCTTCTCCAGGTCCTTTCCGTCTCTAAGCCTGCAGGGCTGTGAGTCTGCACTGAGATCGGGTTTTAACAGGAGGGCTCTCTGGAAGCAGGGACGGATGACTCGCAGGGCACCGAGAGGAGGCAGTGGCTCGGCGTTGTGTCTCTAGCCTGTCGGGGTCAGATCCCATGATCACAACAAGGCACCGAGCCTGTGGGCGAGGAGGGTGCG